CTAGCAAGGAGATCGGGCTGAAACTATAGCTACAAGCTATCCAAGGATGGTACTATAGAATGTCACCTCAAGGTAGGCCTAGTGGCGTCATCTCTTGGTTAGGCCGGAAACTTATCAATCCACCCTCGTACAATGTAAGCGAACACTAAGAAGACTTTTTTAAAATTCAACCCCTAAAGGGCGAAACAATGACAGAAGATTTGGTATCTCGATCAATTTGATGTCTCAATTAGGGTTTCTTATTCAACGGTATCATTCATCACAAAATGATCTTCCAAAACACCACCCCTAAAGGTGTAAAACGGGGGTAAATACAAATTTTCTGCCAACTACAGACAATCAGTGGTTGCACTTCCTTAAATCCGTCGACAGCTTATGTTAAATGGCTTTCAATTGTCTTCGTAAGAAATGATGTTATTTGGGATTGATTAAATTGAATTTTAAACGCCCCTTTTGCTGCTAGCCTATCGGTTACTTCGCTGACTTCACTAAGTATATAACTTTTACTTACCGGTTTCACCTTCTTGACCATTTCATGTCCAAGTTTCTCCATACTCCGATGCTGTTCTCCGAAAACCCTGAAGGCCTCGCTAGCCCTCGGCTGTGGCTCTCTTACGGCTATATTCGAAAACACATCCCCCATTGACTTTACCATTTGCATTAGTTCCAAATGAGCCTAAAAATACTTATTAAATAAACATTCTGAAAATCATCTGATTTTAATTTTTTTTTTGTTAACAAAACCTTTAAAGGTGTATGTTTTAAGGGTGGCGCTTTACGGGTGCGAAACATGAACGGTGGTTACGTCGGAAAAGAAAAGGTTAGAAGCGTTTGTGGTGTAGTGTTACCGGCGAATGATGAGGATACCGTGGATAGAGAAGGTTAGAAATGAAGAGGTATTAGAAAGGATACTATAGAAAAGGAAGACAGTATGGAGGTAGATGAACTAGGTTATTCCATAATGAGAGAAGAGTTCCATGTAGGATTAAAAAACTTAAAGAATAAGGCACCAGGTATAGATGGGATACAGGCGGAAATTGTAAAACTTGCAGCGCAAGAGGTTAGGGATAGTATGTTTAAGATAGTTAGTCACATTTACGAGACGGGGAAAGTCCCGGAGTATTATAAACGGAACGTGGTAGTAACCATACCTAAAAAGAGAGGCGCGGATAGGTGCGAGATATTTAGAACAATTAGCTTAACTTCCCATGCGTCAAAAACCTTAACTAGAATTGTGCAGAGAAGGATGGAAAAAAGGGCGGAAGAACTATTAGGGGAAGATCAATTTGGGCTTAGAAGAAAAAGAGGAACGCAGGAGGTCATTCTAGCTTTAGGGGTAACAATAGAGAAAACTATAGAAAAAGGAAAGAACGCGTATGTAGAATTTGTAGATGTAGAAAAAGCTTTTGACAATGTTAAATGGGACAAGATATTAAATGATGAAGATACCGTGGATAGAGAAGGTTAGAGAATAAGAGGTATTACGAAGAATAGGAGACTCTATGGAAGTCAATAAAAAATAGGTAAGATAGGTTGGTAGGACACCTTTTCAGGCATGAAGGTATAGGCAGACATATTGGAGGCAGAAATAGGAGTTAAGGGGGTAGAGTATATTAGATTATTGTTTGCAAATAGTAAAAGAGGTGGGATGTTCTAGTTTTAGAATTAGCTCAGGATAGGAAGGAGTGGATGTGCGTGTCCAACCAGTCTTAGGAGTAACGACCTTATGATGATGATGATGAATAAAACATTTAAAATTCTAATTTTTCTTACATGAAGTACTCTTTTACAATGGTCCACCAGTCCTTTGTACATAAGTTCTGTTTCCTGTAATTCTTGCATTTTCTTTACCAGGGTGTCGTTACAGAGAATGGCTCTGGAGAGCCCCAAGGCATCTGCAGTCGACGAGCTCATGTGTTCCACTAAACGATGTTTAACTTTTTTCAGAACTATATCCAAACTTTTACCTTGCTGTGGGTCAGCGTGAAGTTTGTTGTAATTGATTACTACTTCGTCCTGAAGTTTAGTATACAAGATATTTAAATTTAATCCTAATGGCTTAGGATAGGAAGAAGTTATGACGATTACGATAATGGTGACATCTCCTATCAATGTGTAACTTCGTTTATAACTTTTTATGGAAGACAGCGTACTTGTTGAAAAATAGTTTCATTCACTTGAATTTACCTTTGTAGCCTGTATCATTTTTGCAACTTCAACTTTAGTTTTTCCTTTGACAGACTGGCAATTGACTGCAACAAGTTCGTCGCCTGCTTGCAGCGTCCCGTCTCTTGCAGCGGCGGTGTTGTCGAATATTTGAACAATATACAGGCAAGGACATAGTGGAGCACCACCTCCAATACTTATGCCGATTAAATTGTTTGGATCTTTCTTAATGGTCACACTCCCGGAGGTGACAGTCATTCCCCTAAAAGAAGTTCATCTTCAGTGCATCTTAATTTATTATTATTATTATGATATGGGGTTATCATAAATTTTTATCGAGATTCAGGAAAAATACATTCCTTCCTTTTAAAAATGATAAGTGTGGCATTCAAAGCCCGAACATACTTTGTCATCTATAGGAAACATTTATTAAATAATTTATTTGAGTATTTTACTTTCAAAAAATTTNAATGATAAGTGTGGCATTCAAAGCCCGAACATACTTTGAATGCCACACTTATCAGTGTCAACATTTATTAAATAATTTATTTGAGTATTTTACTTTCAAAAAATTTTTGACGGTCCAGTTTTTGACCTTCCTCGCTTTGGACCTTCCGCCAGTTGCCAAACGTTGTTCTGGACAGAGATGTACCTAAATTCCGTCCAGGGTATTTTTATTGTCCTACGTATGTCCCGTGCGATTTTCTACCTACCTATGCTTCAGGGTGTCCCTAATTTTTATCAAATATTTTCAAACTTTCCATGAATTGCAAAAAGAATCATATGATTCCTGATAAAACTGCAGAGACCTACATATACTAAATGCTCCAATATTTCAGTCTTCACCATAAATTATTTTTGTGGACTTCGAGGAGGCAATTCATATTGCAATGCAATCTGTTTTGATTAAGTCAAGTTTGTCGTTTTTATCTAGGTCAATAAGCTTGATATCGGAAAGTTCAATTTCCCAGTCTCTCATTAAGTGTAGGTATGTATCAAACGCAATTTAGGTATAATAATAAAAATCATCGGGACAGATTAAAATGTTGACACAGGACGGAATTTACGTTTTCAGATCGAATGAATGGGTTTAGGGTAATTTCACAATTTCGCTTGATAATGTAAAAAAGGAGTTAAGAAATGTTGAAATGAAAAAAAGACTTTTTTAATTAAGAGACCGACCGAGTGCGAGAATAAACACTTGCTATTCTGATCGCATCCAAGGATCTTTCTTTTCATCGTCGGAGCCCTCGGTATATAACAGTCTCCTAAATCGAACCAAAGGACTTCAGTTAAAACGCAATACGGCACATTTTTAAGTTTAGCATCCTTTACAGTCCAATAGCCATGGTGATTGACAAATGTATTCGCAATTTTTCTTGCACAATAAATTTTATTATTATTTCTGATATAGTGTAAATTATCTACAATAAAAATCTTAATTCTATAACACATATATATTAGGCCACCGTCATAATTTTGTATTAGTGTCAATACTTTAAAAATTTAATTCGTAAAATTCTGTTGTTTTTTAATATGTTCCCTTAACGAAAGAAAATGGTGTTCTTCTTTAACTATACTTGAGGTTACAAAAAGCTTTCACTGCGTGAAGGGCCAGTTTAACATGGCAGGGTTCGCAATTCATTTTCCGACAGGGGTTGATAATTGAATGTGCACTATAAATTATCATTTTATCTGACTGAAATTTTAGAAATAAGTACTTAAATGTAAAAGTGCTGACAAGTAATTTATACAACGGATAGACTTAATACAATAACCAAATAATTTAAGAGAAGAAAAAATTTATATATTTAGATTAAGCTTCATGGAAAACTTCTGAAGAAGTCGCAAAGGTACAAGCAAAACGTATTAAGTCAAGTTAAACAGAACAACTATAAATCCTGCCATTTGTTGCGGACCTTGCCTTCCTAAATTGACCCCATTTAATTAAGTTCTAGATCTAGTACTCTAGCGATTATCTAAATATAATTTCTAAAACTAATAATTCTCATCTATGCCACGATCTTGAAAATGAAACTACTCTTGAGATGGAAATCTTTATTTGTCATTTTTTTTACACATGGTTGAAAACTATAATGTTTTTTTGTAATAAATGCTAAATTTCTAATTTACGTAATTCTAATAGAAGTTTAAAGTTGCTAAAGTTGTAAACTACAAGCCAGAGCTATTGCAAATATTGAATAAAGTTCTTTAACTGATAAAATAATTGTTCACGTTTTTTAAATAGGGCAAAATATTGTATTTTGTATAACAGAACAATAAAATGAACGACAATTTAAGTAACTATCTTTCTTGAGAGAAAGAACTTTATTCGTAATAACTACATTTTGTAAAAGCTACCTAAGGAGCAATTCTTGTGCTTGAAAGATGATCAACTAATCAAGAGAGCGTGGAGGAAGTGCTTTCTGTAAATTATTTATTAATAAGTACATTTTTATGTCAATAAGTAATAAATTTTAAAAGTATCTTTCAAAAGGACAGTATGTTTAGATAGACAATTTTTTAACATTCAAGTTTGAAATAAAGATAACATACTAGAAAATAGTAATTTCCTCGAAAGTTTTTTGAGAAAAAAAGGTTGTCCAGAGATAAGTCTGAATTTAGTATTTTTAATGCAAACAATATAAAAATTATTGCTAAGGAAAATGAGAAAAACAGAATTTACATTTACTGTCTTTGAAAATTAGTTTACTATTAGGCCCCTCTAGGTATATGATACTAAAAGATTTTCTGGTCTATTTAGTTTTAGGTCGGTTGCTTGTGGTGCTATAGTATTGGGTTAACAAAATACACGATCAAAACTGTAGAATCCTGCGGGTACTCACATTGTATTTTCGCGACATTGAAATTGACCCACAAAAGGATCATGAAGAGTGACTTCTTCAACGGTGATGGAATCATTTTCTTCGAGTTCTGCTGGTTTCTTAAAGTCTGATTCTTCTTTAACTGCTGCTTGTTCATCATTATCTGACAGAACACATACCGTAGCGACACTATCGTTTGCGCTGTTATGGAAACATGAAATATAATTATAAATAAATATTTTAAAACTATATAAGGCTTAGTCAAACAGGGAGCGAATTTTCCTTACGGGAGAAACTGCCGCAGTACGTCGCGAATTACTTAAGACAAATCGGTAAGAAAACAGTCGCAACAGACATCTCAATTACTTATTGAGTTCGTGTTTTCACTTTTTCAATTAGAAATAGCCTTAAATAAAATTGACAAAATAGTATGGTATGAAATTAAATAAAGTAAACCCAAAATATTGGTATGCAAGGGAAGAAAAAGTAGGGAAAGAGTGAATATAAAGATAGAAGACGCGGAATTTCGGTATCTAGAACTGAGTTAATTCAGGATGGAACGATAAAACAAAGGATAATGCAAGGTCGAATCCCCTTTAACAAAAAAGAAGTCACTTCTATGCTCGTGAATGGTTAAGTTAGAAAAGAAAACAATTATTAAGATGTACGAGGGTGGATTGATAAGTTTCCGGCCTGACCAAGAAAAACAAGGTTTTTAAAATTTTTTTTTTTTTATTTCTCAACATAATCTCCTCCAAGGCTGATACATTTCTCATAGCGGTGTTCCAGTCTATTAANGTAAATAAGTCATTATTTCTCATAAAAAGTAAAGGATAAAAATGGTTATTGTGGGTTATCCCTAAGAGATAGACATATACCATCCCGGACTTTTTTGTAGACCCTTTTAAGATAATACAATATTGTAGAACATTATTTTGAATTATCTTGTAGGGTTCAGCCACCGTTTCAATGTAAGCGCAAAAAATATGTTTATTTACGACATCACATTAGAAACCTCTAAAATTATCAATGTTTCTCTACTACTCTATTATACATATAAACCTTCCTCTTGAATCACTCTATCTTTAAAAAAAAAAACGCATCAAAATCCGTTGCGTAGTTTTAAAGATTTAAGCATACATAGGGACAGACAGCGGGAAGCGACTTTGTTTTATAATATGTAGTGAAGGTGTCAACAGGAGCTATAAAATGCATCAATGCTTCTCCATTAACCTGCAACTTCGGTGTACGCCGTTCATCCTTACTACTACACTGACGTAGTATTGAAACTCGATACCAAGATACGCACTTTCGCAAACGGTATATACTACACAGGTCTATGTGAAAATGTCACCAGCTTATTAGAAAAACGTACAGTCCAAGCTTCTGGATTTAGAGACTTGAGATATTACACAGACGTTTTAATATACGAGGGTGGATTGATAAGTTTCCGGCCTGACCAAGAAAAACAAGGTTTTTAAAAATTTTTTTTTTTTATTTCTCAACATAATCTCCTCCAAGGCTGATACATTTCTCATAGCGGTGTTCCAGTCTATTAATGCCATCTCTATAGACTGATTCGTCAAGCTCCTCAAAATAACCATTTACAGCTTCGATTACTTCTTC